TCTTAACAGTACTGACCACCTTTCCCTGTGGTACAAAGATGATAGGCCTGTGAAGGAACCACCATGATGGTTGTATCCTGTTTACCCTTTGAGGGCTCAGTTGTGAATGCTGAACTCTCAGAAGTTATTATATGGCCTGCTCTAGTCAGGCAGGACAGCTTCTTTGCAAAGTCAAGGTTGACATATTACACAAAGGACCCCCCCCCATCCTGAGCTAGGATAGCATCTTGGTCTTATAAAGGGATCTCCCTTTAGCCTGAGCTACCTGAGCCCTTGACAGTTGGTGATTCAAGGGGATGACAAGATGCTCCAATTTATATTTACTCTCATGTAAATTAAACTGCTCTCAATACCACGGCTCAGTGATGCCCTTTGTCTTGCATCTTCATGGGCCGTTGTTATGAAAACAGAAACATAGAGCTCTTCCCCTGAAAGCCCTGGTCCTGATTCCTAACCCACCTTCCCATTCGCTTTCTCTTTTCACATTTACCCAAGGCATCAGTGAGTACCCACTGTGATCATGTGAGTCACGTGTTTGCTAATTGCATCATCCAATACATGCAGCATGGCATGGCCTGGTTAAGGCTTAGTAACAAAATCACTATCTAGTGGCTATAGAACCATTCAATTTAAGAACTGGAAGGAACTTTAGATATGACTTAGTTCAATTATCTTATTTTAGAACAAAGGACGCTGAGACTCATGGCAAGATATGCCCATGGGTGCAATAGTTGCACTGATGTTACGGGGGTAATCAACCATTTTCTGATTGGATTTAAGTCCTGCTCCCTAAAAGGAAGCATATGCCCAGTACTGTAAAACTGGCCAAGAACACATGGTTTGGGCTGACATGACCCAAGAGGAAACCCACTACTGTTACTTTGGCAAATGGACATAGAGTGTCAAACTGCCCTCCATGAGTGCGGCTCTCAGACCTCAGAGACATTTATGCAGTCAACACTGGTTAATGCAGAAACTAATAACTGATCAAACTATAGAGAATAAATGTTAGTCAAGTGTTCAGCCACAAATGGGACATACATGACCCCTTCCCAAGGCTCAGGGACCATCTCAGAAGACGAGGCAAAAAGATAGTAAGAGCCAGAGGTTGGGAAGGATTGGGGTGAGACAGCATCTTCCGAACATGACAGGATCACTGCACTCAAGAGCTCACAGTAGCTGTGGGCACCTGCGTAAGACCTGCTGCACAGGATTAAGCCTGCCAACATTCCAGGATGGAGGAGGGGGATGGCTCATAAGCCCCACCCCCTTCCCTGAGGAGCTATTGACAATTGATGGCTTCTGGGGAAGAGTTAGTTTTCCTTAAGGGTGTGGCCCCTGGAAGGTCAATCATGTTCCAGTGGATGGCCCCCCCACTCATGAGTATATGAGCTGAATACAGTGGGTTTTTTTTGCTTTATTTTTATTTTATATGTATCATGTGCATGTATGCAAGTACACCCATGTCTTGTAGTGCCCACAGATCCCCTAGAAACAGGGTTATTGATGATTGTTAGCCACCATGTAGGTGCTAGGATTCGAACCCAGGTCCTCTGCAAGAACACCCAATGCTCTTTGCCTGTGAGCCATCTCTCTAGCCCCTCAGTGGGTTATCTTTAAAAAAGGAAGACAAAAAGTTGGGAGAGGTTGGATGGAGCTGGGAGGAGTTAAGAGGAAGAATTAGGGATGAATGTGATCAAATACATTGCATAAAAGTCCGAAAGAAAAAAAGTGGGCTATTCACAGTCCCTTATTTCAAGTGGTGACAGAATAGGATTGTGAGACCAGGCATCTTCACATCAATCTGAGCTCCATTCAGTTCTGACTGCAACACACAGGCTTTTGTTGTGATCAACTGTGTGATTACACATGTGACTTCTTCATGGGAACATAGGATCCTTAAGAAGTAATTTAATTCCAGTGTCTAGCGGTTAGTGAGAGGTGATAGAACACAAAAATCTATTTGTCAAAAAAACTAAGTAGATAAAGTAGTGAGATTTGTTTTTCTCCCATAAGTGTAAACAAGTGCTGGTGTTTTAGTGATCTCCGCCAGTGCTTGGTTGAGCAAGTAATGATGGAAGTTGGGGAACAGATAAATGGAGTGAAAACACAAGGAGAGAAACGGGTTACAAGTCAGCCCAGCGAACATCCACGTCCAATCAGAGCTTTTGGTCAAAACACTTGCCTCTTCTGACCCTCATACCTTTCAGATCAGCCTTATGGCAGCCCCTGAGTCCTGGACTACAGAGTGCCTACAGGCTAAGTCCTGTGATAAGCAAGGTCCCTCTGTCTGTCTGACTTCTCTGCAGCACATAGACCAGATTCTCCTGTGGCTGTTATCCAATGTGATCGGTTTTCTAGAACACAAAGCCCCACACACATTCTGGATCTCCAAGTTCAACCAACCATTGACCCAAATCCTTTCTTCCACTGTGTGGAGAAACCGGCATCAGAATGAACCGGGAGAGACTCATTTCTTGTCCTAATTTCCTAAGTAATACAGTATTCCAACTTTTTACATAGCAACTATGTGGTTAGAAGTAATCTAACCAGTAGGGGTGACCTGAAGCATCTGGAAGTGGGTAGCTTCTGCTCAAACACTCCTCTGTGAACCTCTGGGTCAGTGTGCGGGTACTAGATCCCCCTCCTCTGTGAACCTCTGGGTCAGTGTGCGGGTACTAGATCCCCCTCCCACAGATGCAAAGGGCTGACTGTATTTTCCATTTAGAAATCATGTAGCTGGAGGTGCAAAGGAACGGCTGCCTAAGCAGAAGCGTTTCAGACTCAGGGACAGGCTGGCCAGGGGCTGTAGATCGATGCGTGTGTCCTTGCAGTTCACACAAAGGTCAAAAAAATAAAGTCTGAAAATTTCAGTCGGCAAACTCCTTGTACGTTTGTGTTTTTCTGGCACATTACAAATGAACACGAGGGAGGGAGGGAAGGTGCTCTAATTAAGGCCCACAGGGGATACAATGGTAAGGACAAACAGTCATAGAACTGGAGTCCTGACATCAACAGGAAGCTACGTCCCGCCAGAGAATGCATCCAAAATGGTAATCAGTGTCAGTTGGTAGAAGTGTAGAGAATAAGAGTCTGCAGAGTGTGGGTCCTTGGACAGGACTCCTATGTTAAACATCACCTACCCAGGGACCATTGCAGAAGAGGGGGCTGAAAAATTGTAAGAGCCAGGGAAGAGGTGCATGACCATATGGAAAAAGAGTCCTACAAGCTCCTGGGAATCTGCTCATGTGAACCTACAGCAATGGTGTCAGCATGCACAAGACCAATGCAAACTCAAGCAGACAAAAACCCAGCACAGAACTGTCGAAATGGGCAGCAGACCCCAATCTTAGCCATAGAACTATTGACAGCCGATTACTACTGGGTGAGGAAGAGCTGATCGTCTTAAAGGGAGGGACTCTAGATAGGCTGACTAGACCTCAGTGGATGAAGTTTCACTGAGGGATGTCTGGGGACACTAACTTGACTTGATAGGCCTTAACACAAATGACAGAATGCATGAATTCCAGTGGGGGGCACTATGGGAGGGTGCCATTGGTGAAGAAGGTCTAAAGATGATACGATGCTCTGTATGAATACACAAAAAGAGCTACTAAGGTTGCAGCAGGCTGGAGTCTAGAGAGAAAACAGAATACACTGTTCTCTTTCAGGGGTGCTGCTATACAGCTGTTGAACAACTTGGGGTAGTCCACTTGCCAGAACAGGTGTCAGGAGATAGAGTCACATACTTTGAATGAGTTGGGTTACCCTGGCCTTAAGAATGAATGCGGAGATCTGTTTTGAAACATTTGAATCTGGCAGACTCTTGCGGTCAGCAGTACCTTGAAGTGCATCACCCTCAGGCCCCATTACTGGCTTCCCAGACCTTCCCGGAATACACCAAACACACACCCATGTTTGTCATTTTACCTGTGCTGTTTCATGTTCCTGAGATACTTTCCCTTGATATGGCCCACATATCTTCCCATTTCACCTCCCAACAATTTATTTTCCCCCCAGACTTTGTTCTCATTATCAAAGAGCCAATCCTTGAGGTCCTTTATACTATGGCTGGTTGTAAATCTAATCTTGCCATCAATGTAAAGACAGAGACATTAGCCCGTAATTTCTGTATTTATAGCATGTACAAGATGGATTGGCACAGTGTAGGTGTCCAATAAAAATGTACCCCAGAGGTTGGTACCAGGTCTTGGGAAGAAACTTGTCTCTTGATTCCTTGAAGGCTGTTTAGGAAAACACTTGGATGGCTTCGCAGGACAGAATGCCTACAATGCTTAGAAGCCAAGGCTGGGCTAGAGATGTGGTTCAGTAGTAGAGTGCTTACCCAGCATGCACAAGGCCTTGGGTTCCACACCTAGCACTTCAAAAATACATACATAAATCTGGGGTTGGCAAGAAGGTGCAGGAGATGAGGTGCTTGCTACCAAGCTCGACTACCTGAGTTTAATCCCCAGGACCTGCATGGTGAATGTCCTCCGACCTCCACATACGCACAGATGCCCACCCCCCCACCAACTCCCCACCCCCAACACACACAGACAAAGATAATTTAAGCATGCAGTAAACAGCCAAGGAGCTTTGGAAGAAGTGCTGTGCCCTGGAAAGCAAGACAACACATTACCATTCAGCTCCCCTCAGAGCTCTAAGCAAGTTTTAGAAAACCTGTCTCCTGCTATACACCACTAATTTGTGTCTTATGGAAAATCTAATAAATTATTTTTCACCTGAAGGGAGCAGGATTATTTGACTTCGGATATTTGCCATATGGCTTCTCCTTCGTACAGCATAGCTTTGAGGCTTAAGGTACGAAGAACATGCCTATAAATTATTCAGAGATAATTCAAAATAAGTGTGCATCATTGACAGATTGTCAAGTTTCCTAGTGCTTTCTCCTGATTAACAAGTGCTATGTTTTTGATAGAGTGGCTGTTTCTCACTGAACTTACTGTGTTTTGTTTTGTCTGATTCTGTTCCTCCAGAGTCCAGTCTGGCTCCTACCTCAGCACCGGATGGTTTACCTTCATCCTGGCCATGGACGCCTGCTACAGCATCCACGTCTACGGGATGATAAATGACACCTACTGCACGTAAGATCTCAGGGAATTATTTCTATGCAGCTCCAATTCTGATATCTTGTCAAAATATCACAATTCATTTTAATGCCATAAATCTGAGAAATAGATAAAGCAACAATTATTTCCTGGTGTTCTTTGCAGACATGACACATCCTTGTCAGTGCATCACAGTCTGACTTTTAGAGGTGATAGAAAAAATATTTACCACCGTCTGATGTCAGACGTCAGAAGGAACACTTTCCCTTCATCAGTGCCAATCCAGGACTTGCGGCTTGGAAATACAGAGCAAGTTCACTGGTAACTTGATTTGCAAAGGCAAGTTTGCTGTGTCTGCTGCTGCAGTGGCTTGACGGACAGCTGTCCAGCCAGTGGTTTGAAATTCTCATAGAGAACAAAATGACCTGAAGCCCCCGAGAAACTGATGGCATGCCAAGAGTTCCTGGAAATTTTCTTTCACTAGTCCACTCATCTGCCAGGCTCTTGTTTTAAAGGAGTGTCTCTCCAGAGCATATCATAGCTGGTAGGATAGTTTCTTATTAGATCAACAGACCCCCTTGCTTCATCAGGGAAATGGAATGTATGTCTTCAGCCAACGATCAGCACAATGCATTTCAGAGACCGTTTAATCATATTAAAATAGTAATTCCCTGTCACAGTCTTCACCAACAGCATTTCGACTCTAACCATAAGTCTAATGGAGCACTGATGAACTCAGAATTTTACTGTGAAGAATCCGTTTCCTTAGCTCTATACAAGCGTCAGGCTTTCCAAAGTTTACTTCTTCTTACGCCATTTCCCCTGTCAAAAGATAGCCACATGTTTGAATGTAGTGGGCGTAATCTATAAATTTTTATTTGATCTATTAAAGCACTAAGAACTGGTCCATCTTCTTAAAAGCTTTCATGTGTAATAGCTTTTAGCTGAGTTCATTGACAAGGGTTTGCAAGTAAAAGCATTTACTGAGCACATAATGGATTCTTGTAAATGAACATTTCAGCCCCAGTTCCAATCTTTCGTTTCCCCTTTCTCTTCCAGGACAGAAGGGTATAGAAAAGTCCCCTACCATTACTATGAACAAGGACGGGATGAGTGCGATGAATACTTTCTCCACGAACACGCTGCCTACGGGGGACACAGGTTTATCACTGAGAAGAAAGTATTCGCTAAATGGGCCAAGAAACACAGAATAACATTTACACACCCAAACTGGACAGTGTCTTGATGCTGGGTTTGCCGATCATGATACTCCCAGCCGGGATGATGAGGCTGATGCAGATGATGGTGTTGACAGAGACAACGGTGATGATCATGTGCCCATTCTCTGCTGTAGAAGGTGACTCTGCTAGTAATTTGGGGTTCTATGGAAGGTAGCTCGTTTGTTCTGTTCTTTTTGGTGGTTCAACTCTACATACTGCACTTTATAATTTAACTGGAATTAAAATGAAGGCCAGGGACATGCCAACAATGGCTGAAGAAAACAGGAGGATTAGCTGTCACGATAGCTGCTCAGAATTCTTCAACAGTAGCTTCCAGAAGCCATGGACATGGCTTCATGAAGCATGGTTTCTAAGTGTGTGGTCTCCTGAGCTGGGACAGCTCTGCTGTCTTAGAGAATGGCACTGTCCCGAGTAATACCATCAAGGTGCAGAGATCTTATCACAGTTACTGTTAGCCCAGGGGACTGAAAGGATGTTTCTGATATGCCACCTTCCTTCAGTAAGTCTTATAGCTGATGCTTCGGGCTACTACCTAATGAGCAATGAAGATATCATGTAATTCTTGCATAACAGGATTACTGAACTATCTGATCAAACACTTAATTCAAAATGAACCAAGTAGCAGATATTGATGAATTTCCACTCTGACAGCTGCATTCTCCCTACTCAAAACAATGTAACTAAACATATTATCAGAACGATCTGTATTAATGTTTAGTTATTTCGGTTGAGCACTAAATATTTCAGAAGGTTATTTAACATGTTAGATGCACAACTTCAACACTGTAATAACACATACTGTGAAGACAGTCCTGAAACATAACCAAAGGGTTTCCTCGCTCTGCTTCAACATCCAACGCAGAATTACACACTCTTTAAAATGATGAAACAGGGAAAGCAAAGCATATTTTTGCATCCGTTTATATCCTATCATACTTCATTATATATATATATATTTGTATATCCAAATTTCTATTTTATAAGCCCAAGATGTGTCTCTCCATATGTCACATGATCAATGCCAAGTGCCAGTTGTTAGGCATGGATGGTTCTTCATATCAAACCTGACCAGGGCTTTTGCCTTCCTGGGGTTATTTTTCCCTATCTTGTATTGGATGCTATACCATAAGGATCTAAATGTCCAAAGTGCTTTGTGATTTAAAGTCCTTTCACATACGATTCCGTGTGGTGCCATATGGTCACCTCACTGGACCGTTGCCTGCATATTTGTGCCGTCTCTGGCCCATGATCTGTAATGTGTTCACTGTGCTCCTGTATGTGTCCCAGGTTGCTTGACCGGCTAATATTTGTATAGATAGCTTTTCTGTAAACTAGTAACCCATTGAGTTCAGTGCCAAATACAACACTGTGTACCAAGATCATGCAAAAACTATCACAAAGATGATCTTGTCACAGATCAGGACCCCTGTGAATTTAGCTACTCCAGACTGTTCCGTTATTGTTAGTGGCTCTATTTAGGGGAGAAGATGAGAGCCAGGGACAGTAGGTAGGAACAGAAGCAGTGAAATGCAGTTTCTGTTCCAGGTTTAAAACAGCTTCATTCTCCAAAGACACAGCGACCGGTGAATATTGGAGGTTGGGTTTCTGAGCGAGTAGCCAAGCATCAGAAAATGGCCTGGAGAGATGATTCCAGACACAAAAGCCAAGCTGAACTTAGTGCTTTGGAAGTTGGAAATGATGCATCTCAACTTCCAGAACACTCGGCGGGTCTTCACCAGGTGTAAGGGTCATACTGTCTTTCCTGTTTTCTTCTGGGGAGAAAGATACCCCCATACCCACACCCCTAAACAGTACCAAGCCCACCTGACCCAGAGGGACACAGAAGATAGGGAGAGGTTATTCTTTTACTGTTTCCTTATGTGATTTTAATTTCTATGAATGTCGGTTTCTTCAGAGCTAATGGTGGCTAGAAATACCCACTTAAAGACAAATGCATAATACCAGTGTTGAGACTGTGATGTAGATTGTTTTCCTCTCTGTTGTGCTACAGGAGTTCTGCTTTCAAATAAAAATTGAACCCTTGATTAATCAGTACACCTCGGGACACAATCTGATTTATGGAGTAGTCGGTTAATGGAGGGTGGATCTGTTTGGGCGCTTACAGATGAGACATTTAAGACTTGTTCCCCTGCTACAGACTTGGCAACACCCTTTCCCCTCATAGTCTATGAAGAAAGCAGCCTCGGGTGTAACCTGGCAGTGTCTTCTGTGACATGGTTGCATGGCAAACACATGCCTCCCTCTTCCTCCTGCTTCTCTTTCCTGCACTCTCCTTCCAACCCTCCTTCCTTCCTCCTCTCTCTCCTGTTCTCCCTCTTCTCCATCCCCTCCCTCTTTCAACTAAACTCTATATTTTTGATGACTGTTTTTGTCTCTTTATTATAAAGTAGGAAACAGGGGCATTTTATTCTCCACTTGGACCCAGCTGAATTCCTTTTAATCAGGCTCTCAGGACTTGCTTTTCTCTGAAATCTTTGATTTTTTTTCTGTGTCCATTTCATCTTTCTGCCAGTCTTTTAATTATAGTGTAAATACAAGGTCTACTTTTGCCCATGTTGAGAAGAAATTTTCCAGCTCCGATTGCTGAAGAGCGAGGCAAAGGGGCAATTCAAGGATTGCATTCTGTCCTGCAAATTTTGATCAGTCCCACAAATTCTAGTCTGTGGTGCAGATTCCATTCCACATCTAAACACTTTGATCAGTCCCACAAATTCTAGTCTGTGGTGCAGATTCCATTCCACATCTAAACACTGTAAACTTTAAATGAGCCCACTTAGCACTGAAGCATAACTATCCTAGATATTCGTTAATACAGGGCTATGGGAGGGTGCTGATGGGGAAGGGGGACTAAAGCTCATGGGGAAGGGGGACTAAAGATGACTAAGATATTGTGTATGAGATACACAAAAATTCAATTAAATTTTTTTTTTAAAAAGTAAAAATGTTTCCTATCATCCAAGGCACTAGACAAATGGGCTATGTAAACTGACCAGAGGCTTCTAAAAGCAACATAAATGCCTGCAAAATAAAATAGAGTAGGGCTGGAGACATGGCTCGATCAGTGATTAAGAGCACTGTTGCTCTTCCAGAGGATCCAAGTTCAGTTCCCAGCACCAACGTGGGTGGCTCACAACCACATGTACCTCCAGTTCTAGATCTAATATGCTCTTCAGACCTCTGTGCCCCTGCATGCACCTGACAATACACATAAATAAAAATAATAAAAACCAATCTTTTAAAAGAAAATCACAGAGTATTATTTCTGATCCTGCAGAATCCTAGGAAAAGTAAGGGAAAACAGATTTTAAAATGAGTATTTGAATCTTTTTGAAATTAATCTATAGATAAACTGTATTGACATGCATTGTTATGATAGAAACATGATTTTGTATTGCTGACAAACCAGTCAAAGAAAAAACAACTGGGGAGTTTGGGGGGATGCTTGTACATGTGAGCATAAAGTCCATTTGTACATGTAATACATGCCCTGGTGTGTGTGTGTATTCCTAACTGTATGTAAAAGTGTACATATAATTCTGTATCCTTCACTGATGTGTATGACTCACAGAAAACCCTATTTTAGACATCATCTGAAGTTTGTTGGGTTTCATTTTAAATCCTAATGAGAAAAAGTCAACATCCGGAGTAAATGTACTGATTGCTGAGAGCTCAGAAAATCATACTTGATAGCCAGCCAGGGAAGAGCTAAATCTAGAACTAAGGACACAATCAGATGGACGGTTGTCACCACCAGCCTGGGAGTGTAGCAATCTATATGGGAAGGCTTGGCCGCCCACAGCAAAAGTCACACTGAAAAGCATTGCTCCATTCAGGCTCAAGCAACAGCTGGTCCTCCTGCTCAAATAAGACCGCAGACAACAGTCAGCGTTGCATGAGTTTTTACTACATAGCTGTAGAACTATGACCATTATGGGGGTAAAAAGGTAATTATGTAAGGGGGATATGGGGGACCCAGCTGGTAGGGGAACAAGGCAAACTGGGGACCTGCTGACCTTCCAAGACACTTAAGGCCCTCAGGGAAAACTCACTCCTAGCTTTTGTAGAAAACAGGAAAACCATCAAGTAGTTCGCCTTAGTGGTGTTACTTGGATGTTAATTATGAGATCAGTTTAACTTTGATGAGCACGAAGATTTAAACAGATGGTTTACCTTTTTTCGACACAGCCATGTAGCATTTAGTATGCCTTATGAAATGAGGGAATGGATGATGATGTCCAGGGGCTGTGGTGAGTAGACTATCTTAGTTACTTGTCTGTTGCTGTAATAAAACACTCTGGCCAAGGGAACTTATAAAAGGAAGAGTCTATTTGAGCTTACAGTTCCAGAGGAACTAAGAGTCCAACATGGCGTGGAGGCACGGTGACAGGAGGTGTTGGAGCAGGAGCAGAAAGCAGAGGCTCACATCTCCAAGCAGGCACAGGAAGCAGAAAGCAGCTAGAAATCAGGCAAGGCTTAGGAGCTCTCTAAGCCCACCCCCAGTGATGTGCTTCCTCCAGCATGGCCACACCTTCTAAGACCTCCCAAAGCAGCACTGCCAACGGGGGTCAAAATGTCCAAATACTTGGAGCCTATGGCAGGCATTCTCATTCAAACCACTACACATGCCTTAGCACAGCTCCAGGACCAGGAGGAGAAAATGCTCATCCTTAACTGCATTTCTAACTGTCAAGACTTCATCAGCTTGAAGGTGCAAAGGTCCAATGACCCAAAGTGCTCACCTTTCTAAGAAGTCTAGAATTTAGACATGAAAACACTTAAAACACCAGCCAGTCCAACCCCTCCAGCTTGGAGTTGAGGAAATAGACTTACAGAAATCCAAACAGCTTAGCCATGACTCTAAAACAGACTCCTGGCAGTCCTGAGACCCCCTATCTCCTTCTCTAATACATTTCCCAGTGTATTCTTTAATGCCCTGAATGGTAGCTGGGTTTGGAAAATATATTTGTGATTTACTAAAGTAAACAGGGCCCAGTGGACACTGATTCTACCCAGGATCAGAGGAACCACATTGAACTGTATTTTTTTTAGTATAATTGAGGGAATAGATCCTCAGTCCTGGCTTCTGTGCTGCATTCTCCAAGTGTGTTGCTAAGACCAGTCCATGTCAGATGACAGTGTTGAAACTAGGATAGAGAGCGCAAGGGTCAGTTTCTTCTTTGTCACTGAGGACAGGCAGGCCATGGATGCCTCAGGAGCTGCTGGGTGTTGGAGGCTGCATGTTACCTTGTCAGGCCCTGCTGTTCACTCAGCCTCAAGGCAGAAGCGTCCTCATTCTGGAACCAGTTCAGCTGAGTAAGACTCTGTCGGTGCTGGCCAGTGGAGTACACCACCGGTTTCTTGTTTCCTGCAGCACCCATGATTTTTGAGCCTCTGGAAGGTATATAAACACCAAATGCCTCATAACACGCAATCAGCACACACTGTAAGAGTTTTTTCTTTATGGTCCACATATATGACACTGATATAAGTGGAGAACACAGACATTATCTGCATTGGGCTGTTCAAATGGTGGCTGTTGCCCAAAATAGTGTGCTGTTTTGTTGCTTGGTTTCGCTGAACCACAGAGACACCATTAGAGTAAAACTGCATGTAACTTGTGAAGGTCCTGAGTGGGGACTGTCCTTGGGCATTGTGGCAGTACAAAAAACTCTCATCTTGTTGTTTTTAAGTTGTTTATTTTGGTTTTCTTTACAGAGTAGGCACACAATTGTTTCCGAGGTAGGAAAGTACTTGTTCCTCCACGAATACGTCCCCTTTTGTTCATGTCTTGAGACTGCAGGAAAATAGAAGCTCACTTCCGTGAAGGTGAAGAACACCCTGAGGAATGAATAGCCAGTGTCTGCATTTCTGTATTGCTTATGTAGTGAGCAGTCTCTTCCAAGGACCTTCAGATGGACTGAAACCTGGGCATTCTATAGACTCCTGGTATAAGTGAGTCTGTAAGCTGCCAAATGCTCATTTCCTTGTGGTTCACTTTGTTGTCCCTGGTACTGAATAAATATCACTTCTGTGACACATGGTACATGAGGTTCACACAGTCTTTGCTACAGACGGTTGTTCACTTTTAAAACCTACAGTCTTCATTTATTTACAGACGGAACCGGAGAAGCACAGCTGCGTGCTGGTAAGGGACTTTTTTCTTGTGTTGTATTGATTTATAGACATCTTAGAAAGTGACAAAGGGCTACCAGAAAGTTACAGTTTGTTTTTACAACAAGAAAAATAAATAAGGACATACAACAAAGTAAGACGAATTTGTGGCCGAAAAAGGCACAGATATTCAGTGCATTCCATATTTAAGGCGGAGAGATATCTCGGGTAATGTTGCCCACAGTGACAAGGCATTGCCAGTCTTTTCAATTTCCTTAGTACCCACGAACTGTATTGGATACTTTGCTCATTACTGTGATTAAATATTTGACACAACGCAGCCTTAGGAAGAAGGATTTATTAGGCTCACAGTTCAAGGCATACAGTCCACCATGGTGGGCAAAGTACAGCATCAGGAGATCACCATGCTGCTAAGCAGAAGAGAAAAGGAATTCGGGGCTCAATTGGCTTCTTCTTATTCTATCTAGGACCCCAGCCCATGGAGTAGTGCTGCCCACAGGGTGGGCCTTCCTCCTCAGAGAAACTTCTCTGGAAACACCTTAGCAGACACCAGTGAAAGAGGGTTCAGATCATGAGGGGTCATATTATTTCTGGATGTATTTTTGACATTTTTTGAAAGTAATATATTTTTATTGTTGGAAACAATGTAAAAGACAGAATAATGGATTTGGTGATGGATTCTGCGTTTTATAAATTTGATTAATAAAATCCCTCCCTCTCTCTGTCCCCCCTCCCCAAGTGCACACGTGTGCGTGTGTGTGTGTGGTCTACAACCTGCTTTGTATTTTTTGGTTTGTTTTGTTTTTTGTTTTTTGTCTTTTTGAGACAGGGTCTCCCTGTAGCCCCAGCTGTCCTGGAACTCACTGTGTAGACCAGGCTGGTGTTGAACTCAGAGAATATCCACCTGCCTCTGCCTCCTGAGTGCTGGGATTAAAGGTGTGTACCACCACGCCCAGCTACCTGCTTTGTATTTGTAATAAAAAATTGATGGTGTTTCCCCAGATGCCATTGAATTATCATAGGTCCCCACCAGGGCTGCATGATCACCTTTCAGCCACATCCCCTTCTCACTTCTCTCTCTCTGATGAACAGCTTTGTTCATCAATTTTTTAACATTTCTTTTTTTTTTTTTTTCTGTTATTGTACTCACGTAATATGGTGCCCACAGCCCTAAGCTCTTTCGAAGAACAGTAGGGTTGTTCTTCATCCTTGCCAACTTGATACATAATAAAAAGGTGTCTTTTAATTAGCATCTAATTGATTACTATGGAAATTACATTTTTGCATATATATTGGTAATTTACATTTTTTTTCATGAATTACTCCTTCCTAGACACTGTTCATTGTAGTGGGAATCACCACAATTTAAAAACACAGAAAAATGAAAATTTACTCAAAGAAAGGAGACAGGTTCACAACAGTGAGGGTTATAAGGGAAGTAAACACTGCATCACATCCTGAGTTACAAACACCAGGCTAGCTTAATAGAAGGCTTAGGGAGAACAGAATTCCAATTCTTAGGAGGCGTCGGTACAGTGTCAGTTTTTAG